AAGCCATAAGCTTTGAATAAGAATTAAACCAAATGTATCTTTTTTCACTTATTCGAGAACTAGATTAGACTAGAGTCCAGATCATAAATCATTAGACCATTTTTGTGAATTGAATAAACGCTTTCATAAAAAAAGGTCTGATTAACCAACCAAGCATTCAAGTAGATTTAATTTTAAATAGTTTTCTGAGTTTTCTGATTTGATTCCTAACAAAATTATGGTCTAAGAACGTTTTCTCTCAATTTTCATGACGTAAAAATAAGGACATTCCATTCATTTTCTCTTCATATTATGAGAAGATTAAAGTAGAAATCACATCGTAATTAAGTTCTATTAACGTTGTACTTGTTGTAATTTTATGAAAATATTAAGCAAATGACTTTAAAAGTACATTCCGAGAATGTTATTCTAAGAACACTTTATCTTCTATCTTTATAACTATAACATTATAAGACTGTTCCAAAAACATTATTTTAAGAATGTTCGCTTAACATTTACATTTACACTTTTTAAGAACGTTAGTGAAAGATATGCACGTTCTCTGTTAACTGGGGTCAATCCTCATTCACATTTATTGCATTAAAAATATAACATGCAGAATACTCTTAAACGACTTTGTTGGTGAGGAGTAAATGATGAGATGACTGATTTCATTTCAAGGTAAACTATTTCTTTTTAATATTAAATCTTTTTTAAACATAATTTTCTCTTCTCTGCCATTCTGAATGCATTCAAGGTCAACAATATATATTTGCAAGAGATGTTAAGTGTCTTCAGGACACATCAGAGAGAGGATACTATCTGCGTTTTCACAACACATTTTCTGACTGAGCAGACATTCTCCCCTCTTCATCTCCTTTCACTCAGGATCAGAGTCGCAGTGGAAGTCAAACCATCCTATACATGACAAGTGTCACAGATGGGTCACGGAGAACCATGTTTTCCTCTCTCAAAAAAAAAAAATTGAATCAGAGAGGGTTTGAATTTGGAATTTAACTAGATATGAAAATTATCAGGCCTAAACTGACAAAAAAAAAAAAACAATGCTGGGAATGTTAATCCATTAAAATGATATATTTCTAAAAATAGAAAATGTGTGTTTAATTCATTTAGTAAATGGCAGGGTTTTTTTTTAGCCCTTTTGAAATTGGCTTAATTTTCTTTGTGAGACTCAAGCTCTAAGTTAAATAATACATTTATATTAAATATTTTACTATATTATTATTGGACAACAATGTATTCATTAAAAACATGGGTCACCAAACTAAGGCCCGCGGGCCGAATCAGGCCCGCCACACCCCTTTGACTGGCCCCCCAACCCCTCTGCCACCCACTACTTGAACCGGCAATCCCCAAAAGTCGTCATGGCCTATTTTTTTAAATTGCTTTTTGGAAAATAATAACATGTCTGCATTTGGTATTTTGTTGTTTACTGAGCATGCTCACCTGGATAGGCATAAGAGCTGACTAGTTCTATTACTCATGTTGTTGTTATAATTTCAATGTTTATTTATTTATTTTATAGGCCTATTTATTTGACCTTTATTAAGTGCTGTACACAATTATTATAAATAGTAACAGGCCTACCTATAATTTATAATTTTTCATTCATCCTTACCAGTGCCACTCACCTCAACTAGACAGATGTTTCTTACCTTGACAGGTTTGATGTTATTTGTATTCGAAAATAAATAAATGGAAAATCTGTGGTATTTCAAATTAAAACAAAGTGTGAAGACTCGATTACTACTTTTGCAAACAACTATTAATGATAAACAAATATGGCTGTGCCAGGCTAGTAATCTCTACTATGAGGCCTGCTGGTGGTCAGTTTGGTCTTGGTCACACAATTCTATTTTATATAGCCCCGGCCCCCCATCACAGTCAGGAACGATAATGTGGCCCCCAGAGAAAAAAGTTTGGTGACCCCTGATTAAAAACATCAGACTCACAGTCACGAGCGATTCGTTCACAAACCGGATGTTGCTACTTTTCTCACGAACGCGCCAAGGAGAGCGATTTCCCTCATCTCAGAATCAATACCTAGGTTGAAGACTCAACAAACTCCTCTTCTCTTCTCTCTTTAACCGCTTAAAATTTGTCGTTCATTTCTTGAGGCCTGACCAGCAATGTGACGCTGCTATGACAGTGTTGGTCAGTAGGCGGCGCTAGAGGACTGTTCACTGAGTAACGTGGACATGACACGACCAATAGCCTTCATTATAAATGAATAATAATGAAAAAAATATTTAAGTAACATCATAACATTGATCAGTGCCTCCCTTTTTAATGTGCTTAACTTAACTAAAATAGATAAAATAGATTCAGAGAGATTGTCCCACATTAATATTTCTGCTCTCATGCCTTGATTTAATTATTATAGCCTACATTTTAATGTTCCCCTCATTGCACACACCTAGACTTTCAGACAGTTCATTTATAGTTAGAGGGAATCTAGGTGCATGCTCTTTAAGTAAATGCTTTTGTTCTCTGATGAGAGAAAAACATATTTTAATAGGCTCAGAAATGTTTGTATTGCCCAGAATATAACTCTATTTAGTGCTAGATGTTTGTTTTTTAACGAGGAACATGTTAACCTAAAAGTATGATAAAAATGTGAATATAGAGACATGAGTGGTTTAAAAAAATATTTTTAATTGGAACATGTTTGGATAAAAGCGTCTGCTAAATTATTAGTGTTTGTCTAAAAAGTTTCACATAAAATTATTTTATTACAATTACTTTAACTGTTTAGAGACAGTTTAGAGTATGATGATTTTATAAAGATTTGGTGATGGAATAATTTATGATATAAATACTGTAGTTTATATTGTGATCTGATTTTTGATGACAAACTTGTGGTGTCTTGGCAAATCTAAGCACAATTTGAGACATTGCAAGATCTCTCCTGAACTCTAAATCACATATGTGAGATTAATATTTTATAGGATACGATTTATAAAATGATTTGATTTATCACATCTAATATATTACCCATTACACACGTATTATATCACGTATTATATGATGTTTATGCAGAAAAATTAAGAATGTAGACCTTACGATGTGAGAATGAATCTATTTTGTGCTTTTTTTGGGTGGAGACAAAATGTCTTTTTCTATAGTGGCAGTGTTTATTATAGTCCACAGACCTCTGACACCCATCTGACATCTCCACAACCCATGAAATCCTTCCTCTGCTTTTGTTTGTTGTGCCTGCTATGACTCCCTGTCCACAGCCCCATGAGTGCAGGCACATAAAGTGCCCCTGACCGGTTGGGGCTCTGGCCCCGTGGGTGAAATGGCACGGCCCAGCAGGGTGGACGCTAAAGTTGCCCAATACTTTCACTGCTGATTCTTCTGCTCCAGCAGTTCAGGCACCACTCGCTGTGAGAGCGGGTCACTTCTCTTAAAGTCAGTGTCGGGAGGACATTTATGAGGGTGACATCCACTGGACTCGGCACGGTGTGAGACTTCAGTGGATTTACCATGAATATGAAGGACATATTCCATCAAAATGATTCAAACCAGGGTTCAGATTCAGAAGGTTAATGGGATTCAGTTTGTGTTAATGATATGAATTATACCTCAAATCATGCCATTTGTTTAGGAGAGGTGGGTTATTGCTTTTCTAAAAGATCAGACTTTATTCACATTTGCAATACTTGAGGTTTTATATTAGGAAATTTTGATTTCAATGGTTTATAGATTTAAGTGTTTATTTATGATTCTGTATTCCCATTTTGTTAACTTAACGCTTTAGATTACAGCCCAAAAAGCACTGTGTAATTAAGAGGAATTTACAGTGTAACTTTTTGTAATTTAGGTGTACATGTAAAGTGCTTACATGTAAGTTTAAGGGAACAACATGTAAAGTTTGAGGAATACAGGGGTAACAACCAGGAGAATTAAAAAATATATATTTATACTGTAAGTAATAGTATTATAGAACTAAGGGGTACTTATTCTACTATTGTAAGACAACAATCTTACATTTGGGAGCAATTTAACTAGAACATACACTGCGTACCTTTTTGTAATAATTCTGTACCAGTACAAACTGTATAGGCTTTTAAAAAAAATTACAACAAATCTATGCATTTATATAATTATATAAAAAATGGTGTTGTTTTTTATAGCAAAAGTGCAGTGGTTTGTGTTTGGGCTAACATGTTTCAAGGCAAGAAAAGCTAAGTCATACCCCAATTTTTGTAAATATACTTGTAAATATATCTGGTTTCTTGTGGTTACAGGGTAAGTGGTGCTTGTATAATAAAGGTTTCCGAGTCAGTGATATAGTTTTCGTTTTTCAGTGCACTTTTGTTAAAAAGATTTATAAATGTATGTAATTTTTAAAAAGCCTATATAGCCTATGTAGGCCTACTGGTTCACCATTATTTCAAAAAAGGTATGTTCTTGCTAAATTGCTCCCAAATGTAAGATTGTTGTATCATAACAGTAGAATAAATACCCATTAGTTCTATAATACTTACAGTAAAAATCGAGATGTGTTGACGGGACAGGAATATGAGGGCAGACATCGCGAACAATGTTTCTATGTGCAGTTTGTCAACATATAACATTAGACGTCGTCTTTTTGTCTAATAACTGTACCTAGCATTAGTCGTTCGCGGTCAAAACAATGGTGTAAACACAGTTTGATGCCAACCAACCCCGTGACGTCACCTACACAATGGCGGCGCCCTGGCGAAAGATACAATTTTTTCTTTTTTTCTTCTTTTCTTTACATTTGTGATGTTTCTTATATAATTGTTTATTATATTGGAAATCCATCTTGTAAATCATGTAAACTTGATTCACTGCTTCATTTCCCCTTTAATGTTGCAATAGAAACGAATATCGGTAGGAGGACACCACATATTATGTCTATGGACACAACTACAAGGTGTGAACGCAGCGGTTCTTCACCCTGATTAAACACACCTGAACAAGCTAATGAAGGTCTTCAAAATTAGGCAGGTGAGTTTCATTTAGGTTGAAGTTGCCCAGACCTTCTATCTATAAAAAAACCCGTTTGCAAAAAGTGATCTAGACCGTTTTGATTCAGCAGATGTTTTGATACAGCTAAGGGATTTTTCATTGTTTTGTGCGCCTCGCTGTCCGCCTTTCCCGACTCCCTAATCTTCCAGCAGAGTTGATTGTGAGATCGCAGGTCGTGAGGATGACGACAGTTCGAGTGTACTGCTCGTTGAGTGCTGTTTTATTGTGTCTGTCTGCATGTTTGAACACAATAGAAGCTGGAGTCGTAGGTGAGAAGCTCTTTTAACTTCCTTACACAACCTGAATGAATGCATAAATAGGTGCCCTACAAAATGTGACATTAGGCACAACTCTGCATACTTTCCCTTTTTACTAAGAATTCAGTAGGCTACAGACGGCCATTGGAAGTTGAACTTCGTTGTTTTAGTTTCAGTAAGCAATAATAAAACTTCAAAATTGTCATAAGTGCATTCATTTCATTGTACAAGAAAAATCCATACAGTCAGTCACTGCATTTGTTTACTGTAAACAACAATGTTATAAGACTAAAAAATTGTTACCAGGTTTCATTTCTGAATTATTTTCCTTAAAGTCCCCGTGAAATCAAAATTGAACCTATTTACTTTGTTAGCGCATATTACTAGTCTTGTGGTGAACAATTAATCCGTGCAAGTGAATATATATTAAAAAAATGTTTTACCTTGGTAATCTTTAATCAAAATCTGAAAAGTTACTTCCGGTCTGGAACGGTTTCTTTTTCTGATGACGTAGGTTTCACAGTTTGGGTGGGGAAACACTTAACCACTCCCCTCAAACCGTTAGTTTGCTATGAGCGAGAGATGAAGAGGAGGAGCGCTAGAGTAAAACCCTGCCCTCTGTTCAATATTCCGTTTCACTTGGAAATACGTCACAGCACTGGAGAAAAATCGTTTGCAACTTCCGGTTCACGGGGACTTTAAATGCACACCGTGTAACTTTGGCCACTCGGGGTGCTCGACCTGTAACTTTCACGTCTAGATGCCACAAGCACCGCAGCACAAACGGTCAGCCGGTCTGCATCCCTGGCCAAAGACTCAGCACCATCTCCGAACTTACATAGGTGGTTTTTCAAGAGGACAGCCCCGCTCAGACTATTGATGGTGTCAAGCGCTGTATATTGACCTGAGGAATCACTTAAAATAACTTGTATTCGTCAACTCTTTAGGTCACACAGTCTACGGTGTGCCTTTTAAAGTTTTGTTTTATCCATGTTAACTACAGTATAGGCCTACAACAAACACTGGGTGCTAATATAACCTCTATCTTCTGTGTTGTGTAGCCTGTTTAAATGCTTAAGATTAAATGTGGGTGGCCATGGGGATGGCATTGACAATTTTTTAAAGAAATGCACTTAGTTAAACTAGTAATGGTATATAACATATTAACTGATGTCCATGTGTTCTATCCAACACAGTCTCATGAAGATGCGTATCTATACCACGAGTGTCATTTCTCGTGGCATTTGTACGCCAAAAGTGTTTTTTTCGTGTATATGGTACGCATTAAAAAACCCTGGGTTAGGTTTAGGGGGGAGGGGGGTGGGGAGTTCGTGTGTATTATACGCAAAAAAGTGCGTATAATATGTACGCGAAAATCGCGTGCCAAATACACGCAAAAACTGCTTTTGGCGTATAAATGCCACGAGAAATGACATTCGTGCCATAGATACGAACTTTCATGAGATCGGGCTGGTTCTATCAGCATTGCAGTATTACTCTCTCACCCTACTGTGTTAAGTTGTAACGGCATTCTCAGTCTTTGAAACTGATTGATGCATTTTATAGTTTCAATTATTGATGGATGCTGTAGAAGGTCTTCCAAAAGTAACCCTAAAAAAAAGGTGTATAAACCATTAAATCTGAAATTGCTAGGATTGCACAAATAATTGCAAGGAAACAGCAAGTGACCCATTTAGCTTGATGTGAAACTGAATATTCCTGAAAAAACTACTCCAATTGTCTTTGTTTTTTTTTACAGTGAAAAAAAAAAAGTAGACATTCAGTTTTTAATGATGTGTTTTCTGTCATGCGTCTATAGCAGCAAAGCCAGGACAGTGTCCAATCAGAAGCTCTGCAGTAGGACTGTGTGATGATGTGTGTTCCAATGACAGTGACTGTCCGAACGATGAGAAATGCTGCATCAGTGGATGTGGATATCAGTGTATGGCTCCATATACAGGTATTTGTTCTATTACTGTTTGAGCTGGGTTTCTTTAGCCTGGATGCCAGCCCGAACCCCGCCCACAACGGGAAGTTCAGTCTGGACTCGATCCATTAAGGAGTAATTATGATCAGTCAAAAAAATGATCGGGCCAATCAAATTGGTAGGGCGGGCTTTATACGATGATGGACAGATGATCTGCAAGGACGTAATCATCATATTATCAAAGAGCACTTAACTGGTTTCCCTCAAAGATGACTGCAGCTGGAGAATTGAGACGTATAGATTCCTCTGTCGCGTCTGTTGTAAAATAAATCGACAGCCGCATTAATTTTAATAGACAAACAGAAAACTGCAATCAAGGCATTTGTCGATCGGAAAGATATTTTTGCCGTCCTTCCTACATGATTCGGCAAAAGTGTAACTAATCAGCTGGCTCCGATGGTCGCTAAGAAGATGGGACGTAATGAAAAGCCTGTGGTCGTTGTGGTTTCTCCTTTGGTCGCACTCATGGAGGACCAAGTAAAAACAGCAACACTCGTTATTTAACTTCTAAAATAAGTACGATTTGTAGTTGACAACTGTATGCAAAGTAGTTGACTTGCTGCGTTGCTCTGATTGGTTGTAGGTCTACCGACTATCCAATTGAGTGCAGAGTTTTGTTTTCTGGTTCGGTTGAGACACGCCTCAAAATTTAAAGCCCTACGGAGGAGTTTCAGACTCGCATTCTGACAACAAGAATATGAGTATGACGAAGTCAGGCTAGGGTTTTTTGTTATTTCAGTTTGTCTTTTTATTTTATTTATTTTTTATTGTTTTCAATGTCAAAAGTATTCAGCTGGTGGCACTGCAAGCACAGGATGGGTTAAAAAAATGAATGCTTCATTCTTTAAGTTAAACTTCCAATTTGTGTTTTATGCTGTATATCTTAGTCTGAATGCCACTAAACGGACTGACTAAATCTGATTATCTATATCCATGCAGCCGAACCGTTAACGCCTGCAGCCGACCCACAGAATCATCCTGTGACGTCTGCAGCCAAAACGCAGAATCCTCCTGTGTGTGTTGAAAACGGTCGCCACCCCCACGCTAATGGTGAATGTCTTACTCCTATGGTGAGGATGGGGTAATGGAAGATAATAAAGAACATGGCCATTCATAACTGTGCTGTTTCAACCAATGGATGTTTGGATGTCTTCCCTGTTTATCACCAAATAAATCTCACTGAGCAAGATGACTTGTGGAAAAACAATGAAAATTGCTTTATTTGAAGAGTTGGTGTTTTTACTATATGCTTATGCACTTAAATGACATTAAAACTTTGCCCAGACATTAATATGTATGAATTTAACAGCCTCACAGCAATTCATAACCATTTAATGTTTTGCTTAAAGGTATGGTAGGCAATGAGACTAGCTTTGAAAGCATGAGATCCCACCCTCCCTTCAGAACATCTCCAGAGCCACACCTCCTTCAAATCACATTAGGCTTGTTTGACTTGAACTGGCGCTGCAGACCGATCAGTGAATGATAAAGTACTGCGAGAGCGATTATTGAGCAGATGGTGATGCTTTGTGATTAACCGAGTCTGTGCAGTGTCTCTTTAAATCGAACAAGCATCGTGAGATCGAGACTGTTGTCTTGACTAATGCTTCTGCATTCCTGCATTTTTACTTGATAAAAAGTGTATAAAAGCCGGGATTCATCTGTAAAGAGAACATCTCACCAAAGTGTCAGATACCATGTAATGTAAGCATTTGACCACTCAAGTTGGTTTCGACGATGAACTACATTCAGGTCGAGACCCCGATGAGGACAGCGAGCATGCAGATGAGTTTCGCTGAGACGGTTTCTGATAGTTTGTGCAGAAATGATTTGGTTATGCAGACCGAATGTTGCAGCAGCTGTACGGCTGAAGAAGGGAGAGGATCATTAGAGACATGTTCTTGATTAAAAAATACCGAATGGGGCCACTGCTTTCAGATGTGACTGCTATTAGTAATGTCCTTGTGTCTGTACCTCAGATATCCAGCCAGTTTGCACTACCAATCCAGGTTGTAGTAGGCATACTTCAATTATGGGGTCAGGGTGACAAGGGGTGATGGAATTGGCATGTGTTTCTCATGTTTACCAGTTGGCACATCATGTTTCTAGTTTTGTTAGGCATACTTGAACTGTTCACTAGAAGGTTTATTTTAATTTAGTGGATTTTGCAAAATGTCACTTCCCCCCAACCCCCCCCCCCCCCCCCAAAAAAAAAAAAAAAACCTACACTATCCACCACGTTTATTAAAATATCCCAAACAAACATCCATCACATTTGTACAGTGCACACAAAAACTTACGATTTCTCTCAACATGGGGACAGAAGAGGTGTTGGCTAACAAATGGGAAAACAAAGTAACTTGCTTTGCTTATGTATCAGTTTAACCTTTTAATTTGAATTACTGAAATACATGAACTTTTGCATGATATTCAAATTTTTTTTGAGTTTCACCTGTATTTTGTTGTGAATGTAAAAGTAACGAGTACTTTAATAGTTACTTGAAAAAAGTAATCTGACATAAATTGCATAACTTATAATGCTTTACCCTCAACACTTGTGTCACTGCAGTTGAATTGATAATATTACTGAATATTAATTAGCTTTTTAACCTCAACTGAGCGAGCAAAACTTTGAAATTTAACTGGATATTCACAGAAACGTCAATAGACTAACATCACATTGCCTCTAAAGACCAGAGATAAAAGAGTCAGCACTCAACTTGACCCTTACCCAAAGGTCTTCATTTCTATCTGCACAGGTCCCGAGAAATCTATTATTAAGACACATTTGATTTTGAGTGATCTCTAAGGGCACAGTGTCTCTCTATTCCATGACAGCTTACACCCTCTTCCTATCAACAAAATGATTCTGAATATCATTTTGACCTCAGCTTTCTTACAATCAAGAGGCTCAGCAGGGGGCAAATTAATTTTAGGGGCATTCAACACCTCATAGTGCATGACAGATAGCAGATATCTTATGACGTGCAAGCATGGTGTGTGTGTGTGTCTTAATGAAAAAATAGCGCCATTTTTTTCCCTTTCTCTGTGTATGGATGACCCAGTTGGCTCTGTGCCTGTTTTGCAAAATCTGGAAGCTACAAATGAGCCATCTGGTGTGTGTGTGTGTGTGTGTATAAACAGGGAATTTGCAGCAGCTGATTCTGCTCACCCCTCCAATGATGATGAATATCATCCAGACATAAATGGACATGCATTTTGTCATGACATTGACTTTTTTTTCTATCTTTTATCTTTTGTAATTTTCCAACTGTCTAAGTGGCAAAAGATGAAGCCTACTCGGAAGTGTGAAAAACTGCAATACATCTCAAATCCGCTAGAGGCCGGTCCCAAAAGGGAGCAAATATCCATAGACATCATGTTAAAACATCCGTTTTCACAGCATAAATTCATATGTTTACAGTTTGGTCCCATGGACTTTTATTGTAATCTTTAATATGTTCCGAGTGCCTGACAACTGTGAGGGGGGTGAATTTTTTTCTAACTCGTTAGTGTAGATCATATTTAGATATAAAATGTATGACAAATAAGGGCGGTTAACTTTGATTGACAGCTGAACACGGGCTGCGCCGAGTGGAATTTGACGTCTCGGCCATGATCTGACACAACACATCATACCACCTCTGTATCCTTTCTGAACATATTTTATATTTCCCAAGATTTTCCAGTATGGCGCCACCCATACCCCCCATAAACAGCCTCAAACCCGTTCTTCAGAGAGTCTATGGGTGACGTCACAGACGCTTTGTCCATATTTTTTACAGTCTATGGTTATATAGTGTATATTATAACTGTGTATAGTGTTTTTTCTTATGATTTGACACCTATGGACCATTGAGGTGGGGGTATACTACTGAGAGGGGGAAATTTTCACGACAGGGTTTGGCCCCCCAAGGCCTGTTGCACTTCGGTTCTTCCCTGGAATTGTCAACTTCCCTTTGTGTATTTTACAAAGAATATTTATGTCCTGTAGGAAACTCAGAAGTGAAGACCTGGAGACTTGTTGTAGGATTCTTTATTGAGAACATGAGCTGTCGGTAGCTGCGGTCATCGAGTCTAACTAAGCGAACTTTACATGGCATCTTTCAGTCAACAGTCCTTAAAAAGGTTCACCTTAAACACAGCCTTAGAGGTGACCACTAAATCGAATTATCTAAAGACAATACAGGCAATTACCCCAGACTGAAGATAATGGTATCCCCCCAAAATATGAGCACTGTTGAGCACGCATAACGGGCATAACCGACCCAGTTGTCCAAGTCTGTCGTCATGGTTACTGCGTATGAGGTCAAACCTGGCGGAAACCGGGGGTAACGCGGATATGACGTCATTGACTGGCGACTCCTCACCCCTGCTCACACGCCCTGTTTCCTTGGTTAAAATCTCAATCGCGATTTACAAATAGTTGGAAACATTTGGGATATTGTAAGTAATCAACTAAACAAAAGATATAACATTGGCCTAGTGATTTTAGGATATTTTACTGCAAAAATCCTGCATATTGTACCTTTAATAGACCTGCTTTTTCATAAACATAGCCTACCTTTTTTTTTTTTTTTACTTTCGATCACAATTTCAGTCCTGGTTTCGAAGAGAATTCGTTAAATTAGAACAGAGTTAAATTATCACACGAATCATGCAAAGATGTTTGACTAACATATGCTTCTAAATCACAGACCCTTATAACCTTTGTCTATTTTTCCAGTACAAATATCTAAACATTCTTAAATCAAGACATAAATAAATTATATAAAAACTGATGAATATTAAGTGAGTTTACAACACATTCTCATCTCATCTGGTCAAAAGTGTGAGTTAGATGACGCCTTGGGATGAGAATGGGCTGGAGTTTATGCTTATGAAAAGGTATTTATCAGTAAGGTAAAAAACTAAATCTTGTTTTTCCTTTTTAATTAAATTTTTTTTTTTTTTTTTTTAGAGCAGAAAACAAGACTTAAAATCTTAATTTACCTTCTCAAGTAAATGTATCTTGATTAAAGAATGTTTAGATATTTGAACTGGAAAACAAGACAAAAATACAAAAGGGCATGCATGAGGATATTTTGACTGTGAATTCTATATGTGATGATGGTACGTAGCTATTTTTCTGTCTATGTATCTGACACACACACTCTACACCCACGAATCCTCCCTGTAGCTCAGAGCAAATTCTCTGACTTTTGATCATGACATCTGTGTCTTGCTGAAATGTTTGCTCGTCTCCTCCAGCCTTCTGATGTCGCTCCAGGAGCTAATGGCTTGTGAAAAAGGCAGAAGGGCCCCTGTCTGCATGTGCGTGTCTGTTTGAATCTCTTTGTACATGTGGAGAGGAAGAACAAGAGAAAATTGTTGTTGTTTAAGGAATACGTTAAATTCAGTAGACTAGCAAAGTAAGATTCTTTAAAAAAAAAGAAACGGTTCATGAAAAGTTTGTGATATGTCCAAATAAGGAATAAAATCTGGTCTCTATAGCATTACTTCCACTGACATCATTACATCTATTCAGGCATCAGGTGTTTTAAGATAATCCAATTATTCTTGACCTTCCTGCAGAGACTGTATGAATACCCCATAGAGTTATGCACTCGTCTCCAGACTTTAATCCGGCCCCAGACGACGGTGAAGCAAAACTGAACCCCTTCTGCTCATCAGTATGGAAAATGATGACGGAAACGCTGTCTTCTCCAGGTATTGCACATGCTATTCAGTGCTGTGGAAGAGTTCAGGACTCAAACTAAAAGCTCTTTGATTCACATAATATGTTAAAAATCCCACACTGAACTGTTTTTCCTTTCTGATAATGTGCTTGCACATGCAAAACTTACTGTCATGATGCTAATGTGGTGGTCAGGACATTCCGGTCAGGTACTCTGAGCAGTTGTTAGTGTCTTTCTGGGTGGTTTCATTAGTAAATTCGATTAATTTTGCCTTTTAGTAAACAAGGTATTTCATGAAACTTTAGTTTTGTAAGTGTTCTCCCTTATTAGTAAGCTCAGCGCTTTAATGAAGACAATGTGGAAGGTTGACATACCATCATTAAAAATTTTACTGACAAACATTGTTTCAATAAAATGTCAAATCATTCCGGTGGTCACCTTGATCAATGTTCCTATTACATTCTGCTTTATAATGGCTCTTTTTAATGAATCTCCAATTTATCGAGCTAACAAA